TTAAAGTTTGTGGAGGTTTCAGCCCATATTTGGCTGTCTCCAAAGCAGAGTAGCACATGGCAGAGGGCAACACTTCAAGGTGGTGGACAACAGCAAAAGTAACAAGAGCACAAGATCGGGGAGGAACAAACCTTTTTCTCCCTTATACTGTAAGCAGGCTATCTTGCACAGGCTCAGGATAAATACAAAGTAAGGACCCTGGCCTCCTGCTCAGTCACTTAGTTAACCTTCTAAACTTTTCAAATTAACCCAAGCAACAACATCCTAGAGCAGGAAAGGGATATGCTTTTATCCTAGGGTATAGAACTGCTGAGTTACTTAGTTAAGCTTTTAGACTCAAGTTGACACAATGTATCAACCATAACATATACATTTACATGATGTTGAACCTGAAAGAATTTTTATACCAACCTATGAAATAGTGTCTCTTGTTGCATAATGTCACTACTGAATTAGTTTCCTTCATTTGATTATTTCTGCATTCAATTGTCAGATTTTACAAATCAATCTGTAAGCATACTGTGAAAATTTTTGTAAGACTGAAGAAACTTGAACATGGCCTAATTTACACAGTTTCCTTGTCATATTTCTGCTCCCATATCAACTCTTAAGAAGTACTGCTTTTCCATATAAATGCAAATTACCTTAGATTTCTTGAGCAATTTTTGCATTCTTCTTCCATTTGCTTGTTTTGCCAAGTCCTTCCTGAATTGTAGCAAAAGAAATACAAAAAGTCACCATATCGTTATACAAAAATTAGCACTTATCAAGTTATATTCATAGTACAATATAAACAGGGCTGAGATATTGTTCAAAATATTTTCACATTCTATTTAATGCATCTGTACTCATCAGTAAGAACCAATGCTCTCTCATTGTATATATGAGAAAAATGATGTCATCCTTACCTATAGCATTTATATTCCTAAATGTTTCCCACATCACATCTCTGTAGAGCTTCTTTTGGGATGGATTCAGCAGAGCCCACTCATCCTTGGTGAAGTTCACAGTTACATCCTCCAGGGTCATTACCTCCTAAATAATCACATACATATGTCTCCTGAAAGAATGTTGACACTTATACTGTCAGAACTTGAACTCTTCTTGAAAAAGCTGAATTGAGGCTGTGCTTTCAGATATAAACTCCATGTCTCTGCCACCAACCCCATGTGTGTGCACATAGTTTCATATGCGATTCTGATGCTAGATTGCCTCTCTCTGTCACAGCAAGAGCAGATTAGGACCAGTGGTGCCCTGATAGTTTCACAGAAATTGCATTTCTGTATTGTTTCTAAAGTAGAGCTCATAGAGGCAGCATGTAAGTCACCAATGCCCAAATATGGAATCAGAAAAATATCTAATGAATGTTTTGAGGGATCACAGATTATACATATTCAAATCTGATTATTCATAGAGTTAAGTTATTCTTTCTTGTATTGTACATAGGCGCATTTTGAAATCTAAATCTGGGGGTAGCCTGCTTACAATTAGGGGAGGAAAAGAGGCTTATTCCTCTCCTTTTTTGCTCTTGCTGCTTTTGCTATCTTGTGCCACCTTGAAGTGTTGCCCCCGTGCCATGCCACCCTGCCTTGGAGCCAGCTGATTATGTACGGAAACCTCCACAAACTGTAAGCTAAATAAACCTTTCCTTCCTTAATTTTGGGTATTGGGCATTTTGTCTCAGCACGGAGAGAAAAGTAATCAAGACAAACACAAAATATATTCAGGAGATACTTTACACATAAGCCATAACACCAGGTCTGCTGTTGAAAGGAAAGTCAGGGGACACAAGCCAGCCTAGTGCTACTCAAACACAAACATCATGCGACAGTCAGCAGATCCACCCAAACTGTGCAGTTGTCAGGACCCAATATGATGATAAGTAGGGGAGCAGGCACTGAGCAGCCCAAGACAGTGCTTTGGACATGGTTAAATCACCTCATTTGCACAGCACAGGATGCTGGGGGCCTGGCAGTTTCTCAGCCTCATCCTGAAAGCCAGAAAAGAATAAGGGCATAAAAGCAGCAGTAACATACAGGAACAAGACTCCTCAGTTGATGCAGAGGTCTAGGGCCTGTCAAGGCTCTGTCAATATGTCACTGACTTTATGCCTCCACCACAGCCTCATTCCTGTCTTGGGTCACTGAAACCTGCACATTACCATTAAAGGACTAGAAATCTCTCAAGGCCCTTCCCATCCAACCTGCCATCAGGAAGTGTCACAGAACCAGTCACTGTGAGCCAGCTAGTGTGGCTCTCATCAACACACTGGGAGCTTCTGACTTGGGTTCCTGAAAGAGGAAGATTCCTCTCTCTGGACAGCGTGCTTGCTTAGACAGGTACCAACCTTTCTTCACACGCTGCACTTCTGCTCCATTTCCTGCCCTCTGAGCCAAAGAAGGACAAGTGAAAATATACACTACCTCTTTGGGAGGAACACAAACGATGGAGGATAACAAAAACAATTTCTAACACAGGCTTCCTCCCGGGCTATCAACTTCACCCAGCATGAGGGATCACAGCACTTCCTCCAAGATTTCCAAGAACTGCCACTATCTTACTGTACTCAAAGGGCTCTTCCTAATTGTTATCCATGATAATCAACTCACAAGTTTAACCTTGCATTTGCAGATTCAGTATCTCATGGAGTAAATTACAAAATCAAAAGAAGTAGTGGGTCACAGGCTAGGACAGCACACAATGGAATAGATGGAAATGTCTGAAGTTCTCAGAGGATCGACATCCCAATGAGGCTCTTGCATTTTATTGTGTAGTGTTTGCCATACCTTATTTCTTAATCTGCTTATTTACAGCAAATACAAAAATATGCTATAAAGAGAATATAATGATCTAAAACATGAAAAATTGAAATATACTAACATTATTCTGTAAAATTAATGAAGATGAAAGAAAAAGAAACATTTCAAGTGCATTGGACAAGCAAACTTCTTTTTCTAAGATCACAAGTACATAGAAATTGAATTCTGAGTACTGATCATGTTCTTCACCAGAAGGACCAGAACAACTGTTGAAAGCAGCAGCACCCTCAATCACTTCCTTATGAGGCAGGGTTATCGAAGCATTTAGCACAGTAATGTTCCTATCATATAATTGTTGCACTTCAAAGTCTGAAAGTCTTTCCTTCTTCTACTCATTTATTTCATCAAGGTTAAGTCTGACCCAGAGTCTTGTGAAAGGTCATCTTGAGGATCAGCCTGAAAGGGATCGTAGTAAACCACATGTCTATGTGGAAGCAAAAACCTCTAAGCCATTTGCATGAGATACGGCTATCCAAACTTTCCAGAATTTGTCACCATCAACAGTCCTTTTAGAGCTGCTCTATGTACAAAAAGATACAGAAAGAAATCTCTGTATCCCAGGGTCCAAGAAGGAGGAGTACATTCCCATTCCACCCGCTTTTCAATATGGGTCTCATCAAGTTAAGAGAAACAAAGATGTTCAATCCCAGTCTTTCATACTAAAAAAGCACCCTTGTCTTCCTTCTGAGTTCACAAATGAAGTAGAGAGAAAACATTGTGAGATATTATTCTTATTAGAAAACAGAGCTGTGCATAGTAGCAGTGATAGTAAACTTGCCAAGCATGCATAACACCCTGGATTCAGCCCTCATATTGGAATAAAAAAGCAAACAAAGATAGCAGAAAACTTACTTTCACATGAGAAAAACGTACACATCACCTAATCATGTGATATGTATGGCAAGTGAATTTGATTTTGCTTCACAAATTTTCATTGGTACCTCTACGCAGACAGAAGTAACATACAACACATGAAAATAAAATCTCAAATGAATGTAAGAATGTCTAGAGCCAGGTGTGGTGGCACACGCCTGTAATCCTAGCACTCAGGAGGCTGAGGCAGGAGGATCGTTGTGAGTTCAAAACAAGCCTGGGCTACAAAATGAGCTCAAGGCTAGCCTGAACTGCATAAGGAGACCTGCCTCAAAAAGATTTAAAAAAGAGTATATTGGAGTCCAAAACATGTGCTGTTGTGTTTACCATGAGTCACCATCTTGATGTTACCAAGGGGTAATATATTGAGTCACCCTATTAACAAAAATTATGATATTCTCTGTTGGTGCTCATGATAAAAGTGTTGATGTTTCTACCTTTCAAGAAATTACAGTAGTTATAGATCTGCATTCCAAAATTAGCAAGAGTCCAATTTTTCAAAAGTATATTATACTGCATATGCAATTAATCTCGAATTCACAAACACATATTTATAGCTGGACGATTCCAAGGATGTCTTTCTGAATTGCTCTATTATATACTCAACAGATACAAATTGCAACTTTCTTAATATGAAAACAGATTGATGATTTTTAGCTTAAGCAAACATAGTGTCCTTGACATAGAGTACAAAAACACCCACACCTATGTTCTCCAAAATATACCACATACTAACCCACAAAACATAAATAGAAAAGAACTGAAATTATCCCATGCAAATTATCTGACCATAGTGCAATGAAACCAGAAATCAACAGCAAAAGAAACCACAATAATGCTATAAATACTTGGAAACTAAATAACACCCTACTCAACAACAAATGCGTCCCAGGTAAAATTAAGAAAAAAAATAAATAAATAAACTGAATCTACAACTCAATGATAATACTGATACAAAATATTGGAACTTATGGGATG